ATAGAGGTTCTCAATGGTGGTGGCGGTCTCTTTGTCCGATATGAAGAGGTTGTGTCCGCCGGGTATCGATTTCATGATATAGCGTTCAATCTTCTCGTTCTCGAGCACCGCCTGACCCCTATCGATGAGTATCGGCGGCGGAGTGCTGTCAAAGTTGGACCGGAAGTCCGGCGGCGGTTTCAGCATATCTACGGTCGTCACCTATAGGTGTGTCCAATCATACAATACAATACAATACAATATATACGATAACATTAGTGTTAATTGAGTTTTTCAAATGCAAAACAAATAGTGATGAAAAAAAGTTTTGTTTTATTGTTTTTTCAAATCAATGTTTGTTTTTGTGATGTATGTGTGAGAAAAGTAAATGTTGGCCACAAAAATCGTGGTAATTATGTGAGTTGGAGGGGGTGATGTTGGGAATTACCTTCAGCGAAATGGTCTTGAGCTCAGCGAGCAGGTACAGGTCCATGAAGTACTCCTGACAGAACAAGCATGCACCTTTGCGTCGGCCATCGATGGTAGATGCCTAGTTAAATGACAATGATCATAATGTTAATTAATATTGGTTAAATATTGGTAGAATTAAAACAATTAATCGGTGTGATTGTTTTGGCAATAGGTTTGTTTATTCTAACCTGGTTAAATACTCATTAACACATAGAACACGATTACAAGGTAAAAGTAATAGCACTTTTTTATGGCACCAATCCATAGGCGCCTCACAAAACAACAGGTGTTTTATGAATTGTATGACAAAACAAATGGTAATTGAAAACTAATAATCAAATTGTTTGAATGCATTGCATATAAAAACACATACAATACAAAAAACACAAGTTTTTTACCTTAAGTTTTTTATTATTTCATATTTTTATATTTATTTCTCTCATTCATTCAAAAATTGATTATTTCCTGAATTTATTGTTTCGCTTTTTGAAGGCAAAACTCGAGAGAGAGAGAGAGAGAGAGAGAGAGAGAGATTAAACATTACTTTTTTGTAAATGATTTTTTAAATCACGAGGTAATTTGATAATTAACAATAATAAATGAATAAATATGTGACAGTTAATAAACAATTTTTATCATAATTAATTGCATGATTTAATGGTCATAGATGTGATCAACAAATTAGTACTTAAAATAATTATCTCGATGTAAAATACGAATTAAACATATAGTTTTAATCATGAATTGAATGTACTTGATGATTTACAAATTATACTAATTAAAAATAATTAAAATAAAATAATTGAATATCTATTTTCTATACCAATGATTGCATCCTTTTACAGTATATTTATTTAAATGTTTACTTTGAAAGCATATTAAAGCATTAAATGATAGATCATGCTTTGTATTGTTTAACTTTTAGGCAGGATACAAAATGCCAAGATTCAAAATAGGATTCAAAATAATCGCCCCATCTGTGAGCCTTTCCCATACTATACTTGTAGTACAGTTAATGCTGTTTTGTTTTGAATCCTATTTTGAATCTTGTCATATTGTATCCTGCCTGAAAGTAAATAAGCCCAAAAATGAGAGCTATTGAAGCATTAATTTCTGTATTTGACCCAAGTGTCAGCCCTAAGGCTTTGTAACTCTTTCTCCAATCGGGTGAACGACTTAAGGGGTTTGCCATTGATTTCTTCAATACAATCATTAATTTGCAAATTATTTCTATATTTCTATAGAAATAGTTTTAAAGACAAAGGCAATCATTAATCCAAGACTTATTGTATTGAATTGTATTTATTATTATATTTTATAATAGTGTTTTCAAACGTTTGTCCACACAATCGGTTACTCATCTCAAGAGGCGGACAGACATTAATCACAAGCGAAAAGACAATGGATGGGATATCTGGTGTCACCGAAGAGGGTATGTATTGTCTGTCATTATATCATACACTATATATAGAGTTAAATATAACTACAATTGTATTGACATTTGCAGAGAGGGGTCGGTCGGAGGCGACCATCAGGTTTGTGGTCAACCGTATTACACAATTGGATGGCAATTTCAGATACAGTGCCGTCACATACATACGACACTTACCCTGGTATACAACACACACCCTCTACAAGTTCTTAATTAATTTAATTATAATGATATTAATCGCATTGTTAGGCAAGTGGTGGTATCGGCGAATAATGATTCGGATATCTGGCCGGTCAATAAATGCTTAGGCATTTTATATTTTTGTAATTATAAGTAAAAGTCAACGTACGTTATCATTGATGGTGTTGTTTATCACTAATTGTTTGTATAAAATTGTGTTATATCTCTATCCCACACACCCAGGAAATGGTGGTGTACAGCCCGTGCTGACCTGACACTCGTCGCACAGTCCGACGCCGGAACTGATATTATGGAAAGTGAGTGATGATAAAAATATAAACCTGTGTTACTATAGATTACTGTTGCTCAAAAACCGGCCGCGGCTGAGTTTTTTAGGATGACCAGATATTTTGCTCAAAAAATCACATGAATTTATATATTAATAATTTAATAGAAAATCAAATTGTTTATCAAATAATAACATTTTTAAGGTTAATAAACAAAATGTAATATAATTTAATTGTGTATTAATAATAAATATTAAATAATTAATAATTTTAATAATTTATTTTAATAATTTCAATACAAACGTAATGTAATTTAAATAACAATTAATTACTTGAACGCCGTTTTGAGTGAAAAACACAAAAACGTTTGTTTCAAACGAGTCGTCGATATTTTAATGGCAAACAATTTACCCAAAAAATAGTTCAAAATTTTAATAAAAAAACAAACCATTGATTGAATCATTTTTTCAGTGCTAATAGACATAAAACCAAATAACGGCACAAATAATATATAAATTAACAATTAATTAACACAAATGACAGCAATAAATGTGTTCTCAATACAAGTGGCACTCATTTGTATTGTAATTTAAAAGTGCTTTTGTGGACAATAGAAATAAACGGAAACAGAAATCGTTTAAAAATGTTTATAATATTTTTTCTCAAAATTTCCAGAAATAAAAATTTATTCCTAATTATAAATTATAAAATATTAGAAATGAGTATTCAATAGTTGTGCTTAAAGTTTATATGTTGATCACTCTATTCTTACACAAAGTACGATAGCTTTTGAGCAACACTACTATAGATTGACCCCAAAATATTAGACATTTTGAGACATCATTGACTCTTAGACCCATTGTATTGACGGACAGACAGAGATGTTATAAGTTATAACTTATAATGTAAATGTGTGAAATGAATGAAATAAGTTTAAAATCCAAACAATGAATCTAAGAGTCAATTAATTAATACTTAAATTAAATGTTAAATTAAACACAATTTAAAAAATACTGCAATTAATTACGATACTAATAATTTTAAATGATTTAATTTTTTATTATAGCCGTTCAAGATGATTTAAACTCAACCGAATGCGATTTAGATTTTCACAAATTCATCACAATTAATGTAATGTTTTAATTTTATTTATATTTAATAGTTTATAATTTGTTTGTTTTCGTCGATTACCCGGTGTTTAGGATTTACTGAATCCGGAATAGGTTTTCATTAAAGACAATACGATTGTTGTGGAGGCGAAGATCAGCGTCGAAGAGCTCGTCGGTGTGTTTATGCCTGGAAATGTGGAAAATATAATTAAAAAATAATTTATTGTTTGCAACGAAACTTTAATTATATATTAATAATTATATTAATCTTATGGCAAGACAAATATTCTTATCATCAATTGGTTTACTTTATGAACGAAACCGAATGTGAAGTTGTGTTTAAAGTGGAGGGGAAACTCATCCCCGCTCTCAAAGAATCTTTATGTCTTCAATGCAAAAATTTTCGGTCAATGTTTTCGGGAAATTATACCGAAAGTAATGTTGAAGAAATCGAAATCAAAGACGCGTTTTGCAATTCCTTTAAAGTAATTCTTTGGCACTTATATTCGCATAAATCGGTCATTAATTTGACTGAAGAGATGCCTTTTGAGTTCTGTTACTCTGTGTATAGACTCTCCGATAGGTTTCAAATCAAACGACTTTTCGATTATTAAGAAAACCAATTGAAAGTAAGCATTAATGAAAAGAATCTCGAATTTATCTCAATAATTGCTTTCGAGTATAGAATCGATTCTTTGGTGTCTTGTGTTAAGGCATTCATTGATAAAACATTTGATAAACTGATTCTCGAAGACAGCGATTATGTGAAGAATCATTTATAAAATTTATGACTATATGTTTGACAAATCCATCGAAATTTGCCGAATAAATTCGTGGTTTAAATCGGTTTTGGAGTCAAATAATGTTTTATAATATTTTGTGTTTAATACCAATGAATATCATTTGTTTTCATCAAATACTCTTTGAATCGCTTCCACTGTTTGTTTTTATTGCTATAATTATCGGTGTTTTTAACCGTGTTCAATCAACATTAAGAAAGAAAGTACTTTTTGAAAGTATTTTTAGAGTTATCGGACGAGTAGTTATAAGTATTGAATTTGTAGTGAAAATACAACAGTATATGACTCATACTGCAATATACATTTTAAAAACATTACGTATACACAAAAAAAATTCTCCACAAGTTTTGTCGTTGAAATGGTTGTACAGTATCTTAATATTAGGCTCAATAATTTTAAGTTTTATACAATATAGCTATACTATAGTAATACTGTATAAGTTTAATTGAATAATTACTGCCAATTAATAACATATTTAATGATAGATGGGTTGCATTTATTGGTTTAAGTGTTGTTTACATGTATGTAAACATATTATGTAAAAATAGATACAATTTTATATTGATAATTGTTGAAAAATAATTACAAATTAATACTTTTTAACCATGTTCACATTTAACTCACAAAAGGTTTCGAATTATCTCAAATATTGCAATTTAATTGTATTTGTGAAGTTGTTTTATTTTATTCAAAAAGTACACAATTTATCGATAAAATGTTTAAATATTTATTAAAAATTAATTTATAATTGCTTTTCGCGATAAATATCGATAGGAATATCCAGTTTAACGGGTCGTGCGTTGAATACGGCTTTCGGTGGCTCTTCGGGATCAGTTGGATGTGATTTGCGGACAATAATGCGTTCGACGACATCACCACACAATTGACACCTAATCCTAAACCAGACAACAGTTAATAAAATAGACGTAACGATAATGACCGCCAGAATCGCCACTAATAAACATGTGTACAGAATATTGTGATTATAGTTATCGTCGGCTTTTATTACTGACACTAATAGTGATAATTGTATTGTAATTATGAAAATTGGGTTCAGTTTTGAATACATTTTACAAATGTTTATTTCAATTCACTTTCTATTAAACTGATGGCTATTTATAAAATCATTTATTGCATTAAATATAAACCGTTTAAATGATTAAAAATGATATTTAAAAATCACGAAATAATTTTCTTAATTATTTATCAATAAATGTTTATTATAATAATTATTACAATTAATTAAATACCAACTATTTGTATGAGAAATAAATATGAAAATAAACGAAATTTTTAAATTATAAATACATTTGTAAAACACATGTTAACTATAGTTATAACCACAACATTGAAAGCGAAAGAAAAATATAAATATATAATTAAAAATAATTGACACCTATTTTACAGACAATTATATATCACTCGACTTTTACAATGGGAGCCATCGCTTGGCGACCAGTAGTGGCCGGCGATTGGATGGGTATCTGTTCATCGCTGAGTTGCCCACTCTTGTGCTCATCCGCGTCACCGATATTATCACCACTGGGTTTGCCATCAGTAGCCGCTGTCGGAGCACTCGGTTTGATGATAACGTCATCGCTTTTGCCAACTTTACGACCAGTAGTGACCGACCGGCCGGACACAGACTGTTCGTGATGTGCACAATGTCTGGCGCCAAAAACCACCGACAATACCACTGATATGGCCAACACCGCCAACAGACCGATCACTACAACACCAATCGTCACGTCTGTGCCCTTCATATCATCAGCCGATGGCACCGGTGTTGTGCTCGTATCGCCGTCCCCCACATGTATACCGCCGGTGATGACCGCCGCCGCAGACTTTGGTGTTGTCTTCACCGGTCCTGATGGTTGTGCCGGTGACTGTTCAGCCCCTACTTCTGGCGCTCCCCCTCCGGCAGCGGTTGTATTGGTATCTGTATTGGTGTCGGTTGTTGTGGTAGTGTTGGCACCAGTAATGGGTTGAGTAACGGTGATGGTTGTGGTGGTTGTGGCCGCAGTTGTGGTCACTATTGGTGTATAATCGCTGCAATTGACGAGTACTTTGAAGTCTCTATACGGACACTGAATACAGAAGACATGGTAAATATGATAATCACTTTTGGGATTAATTACTTCTTTGATAAACAGATTCCTTCGCGTCGGACAGTAAGAGATGACCCGATCTTTGAGATAGAAAAACATATAAATGGTCTCATTATCTGAATGCCAATTGAATCGCTTGAACCGAAAGACACCGATTGTCTTGTGATCGCTGTTCAGTGTCCTGAGGACAGAGTCGCCGGCACTCGAGTCGTACGCTATGTTCTGGCCATTCATTTCACGCTCCAGACCTTCGATGGCTTTCTGGGTATAGTCTTCGGCGACGAGTTGTGTGCCATCGCCTGAGCTGTCCGTAAACCGATAGCACCGGTAAGTCTTGGCGTACTGATGGTCCGCCGGCTCCGACTGTTGGCCGAAACACACCGACTCATACGTGTCGTACAGTGCGGCGGGAGTGGCGGCCCCGGAATCGCTGGCCGCCGCATCTTTCAGCACTTGTAGGTACATATTAACCGTTAGTGTCGGCTGGAAGTCGTCGCCGAAGACAATCGACGATGTCTTGTACTGAGTGTCGCTGTTGTGCGAGAGTTGGTAACCACTGCTGTCAAAGCGGACCCATTTGACGGTAGCGGCGGCCGTGCCGTCACTCTATTGATCATTTGATTGATACAAAAAGCATTAATGTAATCCTGGATCAGCTCAAAACTAGTTGTTGGTATACCTTCACGAGTGCCGAGATATAGAACCGACTGCCGGCCCCGTCAGCAGCCGTGCCATTAACCGGTGCGGCGAATGTCATGGAGTACTCGGCGCCAAACGAGTCGCTGGTCTGGCCGTTGAACCGGTCGTCAAACATCACTGCGGCCTTAATCCGGTTGCCTTCGCCGGTGTTGTCCACCTTATATCTCAACGGCCAGTAGTTGTGGCCAACGATCAGGTATGAGATATACTCCATAGCGTTGCCCCGTTTGACAGTGTATTCATACGTGTAGTCAATGCGGTCGTCGTTGTTGACCAGCGATTGGCAAAAGTCTGGTCCCCTCTCAACACTCAATGAGATGATTGTCAGTAACCACAGCCACAGCACCGGTAAGTTTACATTCATTGGTATTGGGTTTTTGTCACACAATAGATACAACTAAACTACTAAATCACTATTAAATTAATGGTTACAATCAATTCAGTATTAGTTTCAGTTATAAATTACGTTATAATACAGTTTTTAATTAACGGCTTTTATTATCAATAAATTAAACTTATATCAATAATCTGTATTTGCTTTGGTGCTAAATATACGTCCAAATAAATTTACAACAATGCAAGTTAATTGAGTACAACTGTTACATAGTGTGATTTTATATTTATTCATTTATTGTTAATTATCACATTATCTCGTGATTTTAAAAATCATTGACATAAAAAAAGTTATGTTTAAATAAATGCTATGCAATAAATGATTTTATAAATAGCCATCAGTTTAACAGAAAGTGAATTGAAATAAACATTTGTAAAATGTATTCAAAACTAAATCCAATTTTTATAATTGCAATACAATTATCACAATTAGTGTCAGTAATAAAAGCCGACGATAACTATAAGGAGAATATTCTGTACACATGTCTATTAGTGGCGATTCTGGCGGTCATTATCTTTACGTCAATTGTATTAACTGTTGTCTGGTTTAAGATTAGGTGTCAATTGTGTGGTGATGTCGTCGAACGCATTATTGTCCGCAAATCACATCCAACTGATCCCGAAGAACCACCAAAAGCCGTATTCAACGCACGACCCGTTAATCTAGATATTCCTATCGATATGTATCGCGAAAAGCAATTATAAATTAATTTTTAATAAATATTTAAACATTTTATTGATAAATTGTGTACTTTTTGAATAAAATAAACCAACTTTACAATTACAATTAAATTACAATATTTGAGATAATTAGAAACCTTTTGTGAGTTAAATGTGAATATAGTCAAAAAGTATTCATTTGTAATTACTTTCAATAATTATCAATATAAAATTGTATCTATTTTTACATATAATGTTTACATACATGTAAACAACACTTAAGCCAATAAATGCAACACATCTATCATTAAAAATGTTATTAATTGGCAGTAATTATCCAATTAAATAAACTTATATTAAATGCTATAGACTATAGTATAGCTATATTGTACTGTATAAAACAAATTTTAAAATAAAACTTAAAATTATTGAGCCTAATATTCAGATACAACCATTTCACCGACAAAACTTTGTGGAGAATAATAAACGAGATGAAAAATATAATAAATACATGTATGTATATTGAGATATTTTTTATTATATCGAGACTCCGACTCCCCATTCAAACCACACAACCGGTGATGACTCGCAGCCAAACACATGACAATTATAATAATAATACGACTACTTATCAATACATATAATATGGAGAAAGAGAGAGAGAGAGAAAGAGAGAGAGAGAGAGAGAGAGAGAGAGATTCAATGATAACTTTTTGTAATGGTTAACTCACAACTCCTTGTACTTCATAAAAGTTATATACAGTACTAGTATATGATGTATAAAACTATGTATTATTATTATACGGAATATTATATCATATTATATGTATCGTCGAGAGAGAGAAAGAGAGAGAGAGAGAGAGAGAGAGACCAAAGGGAAAGCGGATAAAACACTATACAA